TAATGCAGTCTTTGGCTGCCTTACCATAGTAATACTGTTGTGGATTAGGGAGATGATGACTCTTCTGTATTCTGCCCTGGTCAGACCATTTCTGGGCACCATATTTTAGGAAGGACATTGATAACCTGGAGAGTGCCCACGTTGGGTAACCAGAACGGTGAAGGACGCCTAGATCACACCACAGAAGAGGCGATTCTTCTTTAGGTGTGAGTTGAATGAGATGGACCTTTAGGTCTCTTCCATCCCTGACACTGTATGATTCTGTGACTTTATTCTATAGGCAATGGAGGTCAGCTGAAGAGTTTTCAGTAGGAGGTTATGTGAGATAAATCCCTGATATTAGTTTATTTCTTAGGATTTGTCTTTTCTCATAGAGGGAAACAGCAAAATTTTATCCAAATACTCAGACAGAGATCTTGGATCATATTGATTTGGATGTTCCCTCCAGTAATGTAGTTGGCAATCTAGCCATGCCTGCCTATCCTGTGTGCCTCTTGTCTGCGTGGGCCATCTTGTTGAATGTTCCCCATAGAAGTTCCACTCCACGTGCTGGCAGCCTTCCTCATTCTCTCCTAACATCATGAGGATACCAGTGGAGGAGTCAGGCTATTTGTTCAATTGTTCTCTCTCACCTTTGCCATGTGACCAGCCCATCTTCTCTTCCCAGATGCCTTGCTTAATGCTTATGATCAGAAGATAATTGAAAAAGGTTATCTTTCATTATTATATCTTTTAAGAAATCTTAAATTATTTTGAGGTGTGGATAAAAAACACTTTGTTGGAAGAAAAACTCTAAGGCAGTATTTTGCTCCACTGAATCAAGTACTTTTTCATAATCAACAAATAATAAGCACCTAGGATCATATATCTTTTACATCTTTCAGTCAGTTGGCTTGACATTTCAATAAATCTCTTCTTCACCCCAGAGACCTGTATGGACTTTCTGACTTATGGTTTACTCTAAAATCTTGAACTATTCTGGAAAGAAACAGGTTTGGAGTTGTTAAACGAGATGACCCCCTTCTCATAGGACCTTTACCAGATGAATAAATTCCAGGAATGTCAGAGGGCAATTTCCCTCCAGATCATGGCTTAGTCTGTTGCTGATCCTCTAAATGTAGGACTGTGAACTCAATCCTCTTCTCCTCAAGGGTCTGACATTGTCCAGGGACTTCCACTACCCCTAACTTCTCTTTCTAGAAGGCTGGGCCCCTGAACTTTCCAGAAAATTGAGATTTTTCTCTTGAGAAACTCCTACCACTTGGCCATATGTTTCCATTCTTCTGGAACCATGTAGCTGAGAGTATGTGTAGATACATTATGCCTCTGTTGATATCTCTTTATGACATGGTTCAGGAATTTGAGGTCCAGGAACTTTTATTATTCCATGGATTGCTGCCATGTTTTGATGCTGCTGCCGCTACACAGATGCCATCTCTGAGGATTGTAGGGGGAAAGAAAGGAAGGAGGAGTTGGTTGATTGGTCCTTAAGGAGACTGTGCATGTGTATGGGATCCTGGGATCAAAGTCCACTCTCTGGGTACCAAAGGCTCTGATCTTTGAATCTCTGTAATCACCTGTCTCTGCATCTCTCTGAAAAAGAGGCCATTGTGAGACTGTCATCTTTCTTTTATAGGCCTAATAAAAAGGGTGGCCCTTATACACAGATGCCTAAGGCAACCAAATTATCTCCAATCATCTTCACTGATTAACTTATCCTCAGTGAGTTGTGACTGGGTTGACAAGTCTTCTAGACCCAGGAAATGCCCTTAATCTTCTCATCAGGGTGCCAATGGACTTGTCTACACTTCATAGGAAGATATTTTTGTTGTTGAGTCATTTCAGTTGTGTCCGCCCCATTCAGAACTTTCTTGGCAAATATGCTAGAGTGGTTTGCCATTTCTTTCTCCAGCCTGTTTTACAGATGAGGAAACTGAGACAAACTGGGTTAAGTGACTTGCCCAGGATCACACAGCTAGTAGGTATCTGAGGACAGATTTGAACTCAGGAAGACTAATTTTCCTGACCCCAGGCCTGACACTCTCTACACTGTGCCCCAAAGCTGCCCTACAAGAATATAATCAAAAGTCTAAAACAATGTGTCCTTTCCCTTTTCCCTCTGTCAGAGATCTCTCTACTTTTACTGAGTTAAACTTTTCAAAGCCTTCCTGTCTCTTCCCCATCTTAGAGAAGTGATTTGTTTAAGGATTACCCTATTTTTCCCAGGTCTTCATCAGCTTAGTCTTCATCAGTGCCTACAGTCAAGATAAAATAATCTTTCCCTTTCCCTTCTTATTCCCAGCCCCTCCTCCAAAGTTACTTGCTTTAATTTGTTTTCCTTTATTGGGTTTTGCACAACACTCCTAATCATTGTTTTTCTTTGAACTTAAGAGAAAAGACATTTTTTGCTCTACATAGAATGTAAATTCTTAGTTTCCTTATTTATTTATTATTTTAAAGTTGTGTTGCCTTGTTAAAAAGAAGTTTTGTGCCAGTTTACATTTATGTGGCTTAATGAATCAAGTTCAGATTTCTTGTTACTGGTGTCCAGTGTATTTTCTGTACTTATAGTGGCTTGTCTGGTCTATGGAAAATTTTCTCTATCAAGTCCTCAAATATGTCTAGTTGTTTTTTCTTTTTAGTAATTTTTGAGGTTCCACCTTAATCCCATGTTTATACTTCTTGTCATGTCTTCCAAATCAGTTCTTTTGCTTAGTTGTTTTTTCAAGCATACTACTTTGGTTTGCTCTTCAATTTGATTTTTATTTTCTGTTGACCTTTCATCAGTTTTCTTGATTTTATTATTTGCCACTTTCATAGATGTTTTTAGACCTTGGAGGGTGTTTGGAGCTCCTCCAGTTGTTGCTTTCTCTTTTGGTGTTTAAAAAAAACTGCTTTCAAGTCCTGCTTTAACTTCTTTAATATGCTTTGATTTCTCCATGGAAACTTCTTCCAGCCTGACCATTAATTGTTCAATTAGGGTTTTACTGCAGAATTTCTTTACTGAGTTTCTTTTATTTACTCCTTATTTTTCTGTTCTACGATAGAAGCAGAGAAAATGGCCATGGTGTGAACTGAAGATGCTCTGCCAGAAGGGACCCTTTTGTCTGATTTGGGGATGGGGTATAAGTTGCACTCTCCCTATGGTTTGGGTTAATAAGGGGAGAAGGGAGTATAGGGAGTCTCAGATTTTTTTTTGGAAAAAAAATGTCAATGCTTTTTTATCTTTTTTAAAACATAGCCATTTCAAATCTCTTTACCTGTAAATTGAACTCTCCACTATGACAAAGAAAAACATCTGAGCAAAAATATCCAAGATGTTTTCTGCATTTGACAAGATAGGCATTATTTTGCCATAGTAATCTTCCAACTTTCTGTCATGAGAGAGGATAGATATATTTCATTTTTGTTCTCTTGGACCTTTATTGATTTTACCATTACTCAGAGTTTGATTTCCTCTTTGTGACTTTTTCACTTACTGTGTTACATTATGTGTATTATCTTCTTGGTTCCACTTATTTTGTTTTACAATCAGTTCACATAAATCTTCCCATGTTTTTTTCTGAATTCTTCATATTTGTAATTGCTTATTGCACAATATTACTTCATTATATTCATAATACAGTAGAAAGAACTTTAGGTCTTTAGGGAGACAAGGGACCTTGTTTTGATGCTTCTTGCTTATGGAACCTTGGACAGGACACTTAATCACCTTTGGCCTCAGTTTTCTCATCTGTCCCTTGCAACTCTAGATCTATGATCCTGTCAGTCTCTGGATGTATAATAGTATTTAAGGACTATTCCTTGATCTATGGGCCCCCATTTTGTCTCCAATTCTTTGCTACCCCAAAAGTGCTGCTTTAGTCTTTGTTTCTGTCTTTTACTTCTGTGGGGAATATTCATAGTAGGATTTCTGAACCAAAGGATATGAATGAGTCAATCACTTCTGTAGCATAATTCCAAACTGAAAACCCAGAAATTCTGGGCCATTTCATAGCTCTTTCAGCAGCATATCACTGTGGCTGTCTTACTACAGTCTTACTCCAACATTGATTATTCTTATCTTTTGTTATCTCTGTCAATTAGTGTGATGTGAGATGAAGCCTCAAACATGTATTAATTTGTATTTCTCTTATAGTTAATAATTTAGAGTATGTTTTCGTGTGGTCATTTATAACTTGCAATTCTTTTGAGAATTTGGACTGCTTATCTATTGGGAGATGGCTCTTGGCATATACATTTTTGTCAATGTTTTGGTTATTTCTCCTCAGCTTTTGGACTGAATAGAAATAATAATAGCTAATAGCTAGCATTTATATATCACTTTAAGATTTGCAAAGCACTTTACAAATATTAATTCTCATTTGATCCTCACAACAACCCTGCAAGGTAGGTGCTACTATTATCTCCATTTTATACCTGAAGAAGACAAAGGTTATGTGGTTTGCCCAGGATAACATAGCTAGTAAGTGTCTGAAGTTTTATTTAAACTCAGGTCTGCCTAATTCTAGATCCAACCCCATATCTTCTGCTCTGCCTTGATGTCTCTAAACAATACTGGGGAGGTGATTTTTTTTTTGGAGGATGTGGGGAATGGACTGGGATGGAATCAAAACAAGGATGGCCTGAGCCTCTTCATATCTCCAAGGAATGCAGGTTTGGGTCATAGGTTAGGTCGTAGCCCTCAGCACCTCCCTTCGGTTGGACTGTGGAACACTCTGTCTGTTCCCCTTATCTCTTCTGAATTTTCTTTAGTGTCTTGTTCTTATTTGCCTATCTTTCCTCTTCTTTTATTGATTTTTGACTCCAACTCTGGAGATGTCATATATCCTTTATTTTATCTTATTAAGTCACTCTGAAGAGTCTTGAAATAGATACATTTTCAGTTTGGGTTTTTTATTCTTTCTGATGACCACACTTCAGTTTCTCTTACAACATAATGTTTATTCATCATGTTGGAATTTTTTTGGCTTATTTATTTCTTCAAGTTGACTTATTTTCTCTGAGATAATTTTCCTTGGGAGCATTTTTTCAAAATAAAATTTGTTGTCCTTTTATTTTGTTTGAGGGCATCTGGTTCCTCCTCACTGAAGAAGACTTTTCAAGATAGGAATAGCATTTTTCTGAAATATGATTCCTTTGACAGATCATAAATACTTTTAGATATTGTGTTTCCATCAGAAGATAGTCATCAATGCTGCCATTTGATTGGCTGTGATTGACCAAAGTGAAATCCATTTCATCTTGACTCCTCTGCATTTTCTTTATGTTTATTTCTTCCTTTTCAACATAAACTTGACCAAATAGTTCATTAATGATGGGTATCAACATACACCTACTTTAATTTGTGGAGCAGTCTGACATCTTAAAATGCCAGCTGGTAAATTTTTTCAAGAGAATGTTTTCTTTTCCTATTTGAGAATACAATGAAAAGCCCAATATCATATCCCTTAATAGTAGGATAAAGACTCAAGATAGTCAGCGTCTGGGCGACTAGAGATAAAAATGGCCAGATAAGAAGCTGAGAGGAAAGATCAGAAAGTCTAGACTTCAGGAAGCCTCAGACCTAAGGGAGCCAAAGGTCAAAGGAACCTTATGGTTCCAGTCTCTAGAACTGAATGCAAAGAACTGGGATATAAGAGAATGGTGTCACAGAACCAAGAACAAGAGAATGCCTAGGACAGTACAGCCGTAAATACTGTGTGTTGCCTGGCCTTGAATAAATGGAAAGCTTTTCTAATTCTACTGTGATGCCACCTCCACCTTTCCCTATGGTTAGGGGCTCCAAGCATTTAAATAAGTGTATACTTTCCATTTTTAGTCAGAAACATTGACAATAGTGGGCATACAGATGTTCATCCAATGGTTCAGGGCTCTATCTCATTCTTAGATTTGAGGAGGTGATTTGCCCCTGGAGGTGGAGGGACAGGGTTTTCCATCACATACATGTATACCTCAGGATTACAGTCTTCTAGGCTAGGATCTCTTATGGAGCCAGTATGAGTTCTAAAGGTCATCTTCTCCAACATTGCTATTTCATAGAGAAATGAAATAAAAATGAATGAATGGAATTTACTCTCCCCCTGAGAAAGGCAAAAGGGAAACAAAAGAGGCAAAAGAAGCTATTGTTTTTCATTATTAAAATTTCACTTTCCATTGTTATTAAAAACAAATATGGTTTTCTCTTTTTTTAGCTACACATTGGATCTAAATTAAGTAATTTTGGGGGTTGTCAGATGATAGTTGAAATCAGTGGAGTGCCTACTTTAATAGAAACGTTTTACTGACCTTTTTGCTAGGTCATTTATTTTTCTTATGCATAACTCCTGTTTTTCCAGCCTTGGAAATCAGAAGCACATGAACAGATGGAGCAACCTTATGTAAACAAAGAAGTTGTGGAAAGACGTAGTTTACCCCGGCTGAATAATGACACATTTGACTCTGGGATTATTGAACGGTATTTTTAATATTTGTATTTATTTACATAGAGCATGAACCTTAAAGGTAGGACTTGTTCAAGAGGTCAGTAAACTTGTGGTCAAGTCTTTTCTTTTGTACACATCTGTGATTTCAGTAGTGTAAGGAACTTCCTGTGTGAAAGTTTCTCCATAGATAAGGATCAGCAATTTATAGTTTCATGGAGTTGCTTATGGTAGGCTTTAAATAGTAATATAAAATAGAGAATGAACATAATTATCTAAATGATATCCCCTGAGACTTGCTGTGATTGAACAACTACTCTCCCTTATTTCAACCTGATAATGAATCTTTGTAAATTTAACTTGATTGGTTGGTCTTTGGGCAATAGGTATACAATTCATAAACAGCCCATAATCTTTAGCCCTTGATGCCTGCCCTATTGGCATGGTTTTCAAGACCTCAGGGTTATCTCCAAACCATAATGAAACATCAGAAGAGTATTTTTGAGTGGAGATGAAAAGGAAATACAGAAAAACATGAGTTATGGTCATGCCACATAATATGTAAATATTACACTAATTTTTATGGTATTTTAATAACAACAAAAACAGTAAGCATATATTGAGTGTCTACTGAGTACAGATCATTATGTGTTTGTAGAGGGAAAATATATTTAGATAAGATGAGGATCTCTCCTTCATGAACTTTTTAATTTACTAGGGGGACACAGCGCATAGATAACCATAATACACAATACATGTGCCAAGCATATTAGAAAGGAGGGGATGGATATGTCAGGTATTATGTAACCAGAATCAATAGGACTTAGCAAACTTTTTGTGTATGAAAGTATTTTCCTCTCTATTGTTCAGTCATTTCAGTTGTGTCTGATTCTTTGCGACCCCATTTAGGAGTTTCTTGGCAAAGATGCTGGTGTGGTTTGCCATTTCCTTCTCCAGCTCATTTTACAGAGGAGGAACTGAACAGGGTTAAGTGACTAGCCCAGGGTCACATAGCTAGTAAGTGTCTGAGGTCAAATTTGAACTCAGGTCATCCTGACTTCAGGGCCAATGCTGTGTCTACTACGCCACGTAGCTGCCCCATTTTCCTCTCTATATAAAATTTTCTAACATTTTCTCCAATATAGTCATTTTTAAAATAGTTATTAAATTCTCCTTCAAATGAGTGTTTTATGTTATGACATTTTAAAAGTGGCAATCTGACTTGTTTTTCCGGAAATTGTCCTTTTGTTTTCAGGGACACTGGATTGCCCAGAAGAGGTTTTGGAGCTCTCTTTTCTCGACACCCACCAGATCATCGTAAAATGTTAGTAATTTACTAAAAATGTAATCAGTAATAGAAAATATCACGTAATGAGTCAGGGAAATTTGATTTCCTGAAGTATGTACAATGGGTCAGAGAACAAAAAAAAATTCTTAAGTACCCTTTGTTATATCTGCCAATCTTATGTTCTTTAATATAATGTTATTTTGCCCATTAATAAGTATGACACCTATTTTGATATGGTTAATATTATATGACAATTATTATATAATAATACATTGACTAAATTAATATGCTTTTTCCCATTTTTTAAAGCAAAGAAATTGTGAAAATAATGTACCTTTGGTGACTAAAGGTATCTTGAGGTAATCTAATTTAGTGAGTGTAGTCCTAAATGAATTTTAAAAAAAATCCATAATGATGGATGTATCAGTGATGTAGAAGAAAATGAAATACATCAAAAACTAAGGTATCCAAAGCAGCCTGTGCATTATGAAGGAACATCATAAACATGTATTATTAGCTAACGTTTTTACTTCAAGCGTAGTAGGGATCTGTGAACTAAACAATAATATGTACTTGATCTGACTGAGGCTTTATCTGATAATATTTGTTAACTAAGAGATCAGTAACAAGTCATTTAATCTCTCCTTAGATATGGAAACTAAGGAAGGTAGCAATACCTGTGCTAGCTACCTCACAGGGCTGTTGTGAGCAAAACAATTTTCAGTACTATATAAATGTGAATTATTAAGGAGCAAGCTACTTGGGAAAATGGTCAAAATAATATTATCCCATTCCCATCTCTCTGACCATGGTGCTCCAAGGGTGGGAAACCTGCAGCTTCAAGGCCACATGTGGCCCTCTAGGTCCTCAAGTATGGTGCTTTGACTGAATCCAAACTTCATAGAACAAATCCCCTTGATAAAAGGATTTATTCTGTAAAACCTGGACTCAGTCAAAACGCCAAACCCAAGGACCTAGAAGGCCACATGTGGTCTGGAGGCCACAGATTCCCCACCTTGGTTAGACAGATTACAATCCAATGCTAGGGATATAGATTCTAGGGATTATAGCCCCATTGGGTCTGCTGAGGCCCTGGTACAGTGTCCATAAGTATACTGTCATTGTTGTTCAGTTGTTTCAGTCGTGTCTAACTTTTCATGACCCCAGTTAGGGTTTTCTTGGCAAAGATCGTGTATTGGTTTACCATTTCCTTCTCTAGCTCATTTTACAGATGAGGAAACTGAAGCAAACAGGGTTAAGTGACTTGCCCAGGGTCATACAACTACCAAGTGTCTGAGGCTGGATTTGAACTCATAAGGTTGAGTCTTTCTGATTCCAAGCCCAGTACTCTATCCATTACACCACCTAGGTGCCTTTCCACAAGTATGATACCTATCTTAATATAGTTAATATTACATGATAATTATTACATAATGATACATTGATTAATATATTTCTTTCAGGTACAGTTCTGATTGTGGCTTTCAGAGCCCAAATAAACCAAACTAAATCACCAAGAGATAACTGATGCCCCAGATATGAGCCAAAACCATACCAGTTTTTTATCTCCAGTTAATATTCTATAGACCACAGATGATCTTGGATAATTTCATTCCCTCCTTGGATGTCCTATAGGCAGATGAGGATTAGTTGAATGAATTGGATGTGTATGTCAAGGAGAATAAGAGTCTCACTGGAAACAGGTTAGCTGTCTTCAAATATTTGAAGGCTTATGACTTAGGATTAACTCTGTTCTGTTTGGCCCCAGAGGGGAGAACCAGGAAAAAAGCATAGACTTTGTCAAATGGCAAATTGATGATTCAAGCCAGGGGGGAAAATAACTTCCTAGACATTGGAGGTGCTTAAGAGTAGAACAGTTGTTTCTTTAGCTTCCCAAAACTAGAGGCTTTCAAGAAGAATCAAGATGACTACTTCTTAGGGATGTTATAGTGAGTATGGGTTGAACTAGATGACCTGTGAAGTCCCTTTGACCTCTGATATTCTGTGATTCTGGCTGTGACTCTAGTGTAAAAATACTTCACAGATAATGGGTAAGTGGTGTGGTTAGTTTTTATATTTGACATAACAATTGAAAACACATAGTTATAAAAGTCTTTCCCAATTCCATCTTTTTGGATGAATGGTCTATTAGGAAATAAGACTTTATTGATTAAAATGGTTGGTTAGAACCATTTGTTTGTTTAATTTAATTCATGCCTTTATTAAAGGCATAAACACTCTGTTTTAGTTAGAATACATATAACAGAATACGTATACCATTTTGGAAATCCACTGAAATATACTATTTTAGAATATTCTCTCTTGAATATCAACTATTCTTTTGCTTCTTGCCAACTGTACAGCAGTTAAAACTAAATGTCAATGGGAAAAAGGCAATGAATAAAAATGAGTTTGTTCAATGGTCCAGAATGATGTGTTTCCAGTTATTCTGGAAAACTATAATTATAATGTGACCATAATCCTCATGTTAACTCTTTTGGTGTAACAATATAAATGTATAACTTTGTCATAATGGAGACCTTTATCAGAGAGTATTTAACTTAAATTTCAGAATCTATCAAATTAATTATAATTACATTTGGTAATTTGTTTCTTTTTCCTTTTTCTTTGTTCTTTTTTTTTATATGAGGCAATTGGGGTTAAGTGACTTGCCCAGAGTCACAGCTAGTGAGTGTTATGTGTCTGAGGTTGGATTTGAACTCAGATCCTCCTGACTCCAGGGCCAGTGCTCTATCCACTGTACCACCTACCTGCCCCTCTTTTTCTCTATACTATAACCTTGGACATACTCAATTTTGGACCATTTTTATGAAGGTAATGCTGCTTTTCCTTATAAATAGGCTTCAAAAATTCATAGAGGAAAAAGAAAGTCTTAATGAAAAACTTTTGTAATCAGAGATCTGGGTTTGTTGGCTCTGTCTGAGCCAAGCATTGATTCACCTTAAAGTGGTAATTCTTGTCACTTACCTAACAGAGAAATAGTTGGAATACCTAGTGCTTTACATTTTTACAGAGGGCTTTCACAGACCGTTATAGTCCATTTTGTAGTTGGAAGAATTCACCTGGATTGTTATAGTAAATGACTTTATTTAGAACTGATCCTTACATGATATGCTCCCTGTCCTGCTCACTTTCCTTTGGCCACAGCCCAGTTTGGTAATGTTCTTCCTAAAATGGCAGCTGAACACAATACTTCAAATGTGATCCAACCAGAACAGAATACAGAGGACAGTCACTGTGCAACCTAGACACTATACAGCATGTAATCATAAAATCTCTTCAACATTATGCTATGCTGTTGACTCATTGAGCCAGCAGACTAGATCTTTTTCATATAATCCTAATCCAAGTCGGTCTATCTGACGCTGTACTCGTACAGGAAATATTTTGAATCCAAGAATAGGACTTTACATTAAATTTCATTCTATTAGATTTGGCCCATTATTCTAGTCTTTTGAGACCTTTCTGAACACTACCTTCTCGTTTAGCATTCTGGCTTTGGGTCATTTGTATATCTGCAACTTATATCATCTGTGCCTTCATCCAAATATGCATCTGTAATACCTTTGCCAAGTCATGGAAAAAATACTAAACAAGTTCTAGAAATGTTTTGTAAGCAATGCCATCCTTTCTATTTCAAAGAAATGGATGCCAAGAAATAAAAAATGCCGTTATTATTTCCTTCCTCCTTAACAGTCAGAAGCGTTAGCACATATGGCATGAGTGCAGCTATGCACTGAGTTCCTAGTCTAGGTTGAAACTCAACATTAAAATCAAGAGAGGAAGAAATTGAGTTACTCACTTTTCAGCACTTGATTGAAAACTTCAGGTACTCCATTTGAGACTTATATCTAAGTTTAATATGTAGCTATAATTAATAGTAACATGATTTACTCTTCATGTTTGTTCATTCAATTGGTTCTGAATAGCCCTAACTAATATTATCCAGCCTACATCTTGCCATCACCATAAAGCCAGCATGAAACACTGGTAAATGCTAAAATTGTAGCTTATGTGTTTGCACTTCCCCTGTCTCTAAGTCTAGTTCTGTTCACAAAGAAAATTAATTTAATTTGGAAGAAGCCATGCTGACACCAAGTGACCCTTTTCTTTACTTTCTAAAATCTTGTATATCTTCCCTCTAATAATATATTCAAGAATTTTATCAGTATTGAAGTCAAGCTCAATGGCTTAGAGCTTTGAGTATTCTACCCTTTTCCTTTCTTGAAAACTGAGACATTTTCCCATTTCTAACTTTCTGACCTCTCTACTACTTGCCATAATTTTTCAAGGATCACTGAAAGTTGCTCTACAATCATATCCATCAATCAATTACTTTAGTAGCCTGGGATGTAATGCTTCCTGGATTGGTACCTTGAATTTGTCTTGGGCAACTAGATGCTCTCTTGTCCCTTCTTAACTTACTTTTTTATAGCTCCCTGATAACCATTTTTATTCTATCTTTTCTAGTCTGAAGATAATTTTCTTTTACAAAAAAAGCAAAATAAAAGGTGAATAGTTCTGCCTTCTCACCATAATCTGTTATTATCATCTATGTATCGAGATCAGGGGAATCGTAGAATCTAAAAGCTGGAAAGGACCTCAGAGACATCAGTTTTATTATCTTTTTTTAAGCCTTCTTTTCTGCAACATAGCTCTTCCCCTCTAAAAATCCCCTTTTTGTGTGCATTTATCACCAGCTTAAGTTGATTTTGAGCTTTATTACACTTATCTGCAATTACTTATCATTTCTGCCACCTTCAAAATGACACATAGAACACTTTAAGGTTTTCAAATGGCATTCCTCACATTTCTGTAAAGATAAATAGTGCAAGTTTTATTATTTTCATATTACAGATGAGTACACTGAGTCTCTGGGGGTCTAAAGGACCTGCCCATAGTCATGCAGATAGTAAGTGTCTGATGAAGAATTTGTTCCATGTCATTAAAGTTTAAGTTGGTCATTGAGTTCTCTATATATTCATATTAGTCTATTTAGGCACTATCCTATTCTCTTCTTCATTGGTATCATTGGTGTTTGTAATATTAGAATGTCTTTCTTGAGAACTTCCCATCTCTCTTGGGGTGAAATCCCCCATATATTTTATGACTCAGTGAATCACATCAGAAAGTACCATAATATACTTATGATATTGAGGAGACAATTTTTGTAAGGATAAGAACTTCCCAGAACTGAAGATTTCTATGTCATTGACTTTTTAATATCATACAGTGTATCTAGTTGGCATTTATAGCTCAAATATCGCCAAAGCACTTATGCCTCACATCAATCAATCTTTCCAATAGTTTGAAGAGATCATTAACCACGATGAAGTTTCATTTGGCCTCCACATTTTTGTTATTTCTTCCCCTGTTACTCTGCCATGGTGACTGCTTAGTAGTAAGGTAATGAAAAGAATGCTAGAGTTGGACTTGATGAACTCTCTCTTCAAATCCCAGCTCAACCTGTAACTAGCTATGTGGAAACAGGCAAATCATAGCCTTCCTGAACCTCAGTTTCCTCTTCTTTAAAATGGCAGTAATGCTATTTATAATAACTACCTCACAAGGCTGTTATGAGGATCACATAAGGTCATATATGGAAAGTGCTTTGCAAACTTGAATATATTCCATAGATGTTAGCTGCTGGGTACAGATATCAATACGAGTTTACATTTGCAGAACACTTCAGACTATTCAGAGTTCTTCCATGTGCATTATCTTTTCTCATCCTCACAATTGTGTAAGGGAAATAAAGCAGGTACTATTTTCCTCATTTTAACATATAAAGAAACTGAGGCATAGATACAGATACCAACTCCATTAATTCAAAAGTATTGAAGTAACACATGGGTACAGATAATTTATTAAACCAATTAGCTTTCAGGTTTAGTGAGTGAATCCTGAAAAGGTAGGTTGCAGGATAGATAAGTTTTAAGGGAGGAAAATGTGTCAAAACCTTGGAATGGATGGCATTTAAACCTTTGGGGCAGCAAGGGATAGCATGGGCATAGTGTCAGGAATGTAGTGCGTACTTAGTAAGTTCCTGTTTGACTGAACTATAATAAGGGCTTTAGTGTAGGGGTAGATTAAATTCTGTATTATAGGGGGATATTATTGGAGAGATGGAAATGAAGATAAATTTTGTCTATTTCACAGTTTTGTTCAATGTCAGCCTTTGGTGATGTTGTTGCTGCTATTGCTATGGTTTCATTGATTTAGGGAACTCTTAGTGAAAAAACTTTCTCAAACAATGCAGATCAACAATCATCCTTTGACTTAACAGTCTTAGAGAGACCTGGAGCAGTTGTAGTTTAATGGACTCATCCCAAAGTGATATTAAAACAAAACTGGAAAAAAAAATCCATTTTTTGTATATTGTGTCTTTTCACGAATATTGGTTTATCTTTTGTAGGCAACATATGACGACATATCGTGAAGAATATGTTCCTCCCTATGATTACACGAAAGTTGTAAGTCTGAGAGAAAAGAGCTCCATTTAGTGGTTTTTTATATATTTAAAATACATATTCCTATCTAGACTAAATAATCAAGTTTTGAAAGTAAGAAGAAATTGCTAGAAATGCTATATTTACATAGTGCTATTAGCAACATGTCTGTGGAAGTTTCTAATAATTTTGAGTAATTTGAAGAATGCAAGGAAGAAAAAATTTCTGTTCCTTAAATGTACCAGCCACTTTCTTCCTTTCTTGCTTTACTGCCATTCAGAACTTAAAATTTTATGGCAAGTAAGTTTTTTTTAGCTTTCTTTCCATCCTTTCTTCTCTACATCTGTACTACATAAAAAGAAGTTGCTATATGTAGTTTGGGGAGATGTGGATTTTAAAGGCTATCTTAACACTTAAATATACTTTGTATTTTTGAAAATATATATTTATGAAAAGGGAATTTCAATATTTGTTATTTCCACTTGCAATAGGAGCACTGGTGCTGCTCATTTTCTTGATCTTTACGGTATTTGACTTCTCTATGAAGTAAAGTTTATTTTATTATAAATTAAACTCATTCCCTTGTACCTTATCTCCCTGAGTCATACAAACTACCTTGTAATGATTGGGGTAACAGCAAACTCAGCTGGTAAATGGAGAACACACAAAGTAGTATGGAGGTCCAGTAGCCTAAGGTCTGGTTAGACAGCTCAGGTTTTAGACAGGTCATAGTGGCATTTGGGACTCAGGTAGGATTTGTTCTGATGGGCAAAATTTAAGACACGTCTCTCAGACGAAAGAGATATCAGCCAGGGATACGGGACACACACCAGAGGGAGCTCTCAGTGAGTTTGTTGCTCTAACAGGGCATAAAGGCATCTGCCACTCTTTTATCCTTGACATTCTTTTCAAACTGATCCTATCCCTGAATATAAACAATTTAGACTGTGAAAGGACCAGGTCCTCAGGGAGGCCCTGAGGTTTAGCGCCTTGACTGAGAGGAGAAGTTGTAGAAAGCTTAAATGGAGAAGTTTTGGAAGGATCTCTATGGGGAGTAGGATAGAGAATCAATTTGGTAGGAGTAAGAGAATTGTGTTGCTGAAGTGGGCCCAACTGAGGATAGATAATATAAATTTGCAGTGGTTGATTATGTGATTTCCTCTAGTTCCATTTAGCAGTAAAAACCATAGAATTATGAGCTGCTGGAATTCTCTGTCTTCTAAAAGGAACGGCTAATGATTTTGTGAGCTGTCTCTTTCTTTAAATTCTATTTTATTTTCAGTTCCAAATTCTCTCCCTTCTCCTCTCCCTCTCCCACTCAAAGAGAAAGCAAGAAAAACAAAACCCATTACAAATATGTATAGTCATGCAAAACATATTTCTGCATTAGCCATATTAAAAAAAAAACAAGAAAAAGGAGGAGAAAGAAAAAAATATACTTCAGTCTGCACTGAGTTAATCAGTTCTCTGTCTGGAGGTGGATAGCATATTTCACCATGAGTCCTTTGGAATTGTGATTGGTCAGAATTACTATGTCTTTCAAAATTTATTATCTTTAAAATGTTGCTATTATTGCATAAATTGTTCTCCTGGTTCTGCTCACTTCACTTTGCATCGATTCATGCAAGTCTTCCCAGGTTTTTCTGAAACCATCTCCTTCATCATTTCTTATAGTATAATAGTATTCCATCATATTCGTATACCATAATTTGCTCAGCCATTCCTCAAATTGATGGGCATCCTATCAGTTTCCAATTCTTTGCCACTATAAAAAGAACTCTTATAGTTTTGTACATATGTGTTCTTTCTCTCTTTCATGGATCTCTTTAGCATATAGACCTAATGGAAGTGTTCTTGGGTCAAAGGGTATATACACTTTGATAACTTTGGAGGCATAGTTCCAAATTACTTTCCAGAATGGTTGGACAGCTTGTGGCCTATTTTAGTGATAACTGCATCTCTCAAAAAGTGAAGGACTGAATGAGAGGAATTGCTATTCTGGATCCAATTCTGGCCAACAAAGATGAACTGGCTGCTGGGGGGAAAATGAGGGGAGGCTTAGGGAAAGTGGCAACTCATCTTCAGAACTATGAGAGGAGTAAGAGAAAGAGAGAGACAGAGACAGAGGAAAAACTTAATTTTACAAAGCACAGTATATATGTTAATGTCTTTGAACCTCACATCAACCCTGTGAAGTCATTGCTATTATTATTCTCATTTTATAGATGAGGAAACTGAAATTTATGAAGGTTAAATTACTTGCCTAGGGTTATACAGTAATTATCAGATGCAAGATTCAGACTTGGATCCCACTGACTCTTTTTTTAACATGTTTTTAAAATTTTATTTATTTTATTCTGAACTTAAGAAATAAAATTAGCATTTCCATAACATGGTAGAGTAGAAAAAAACAACAGATGATTGTACATGAAACTGTAAATCTTTTATGTACAACTTGCTATTCCTTTTAAATGTATAATAAATTGATCATGTAACTTTTTTCCTTTTTTTCTTTCCTCCTTTCAGAATGTGTGAATGTATAAATGCCTATAATAATATAATAATGTGTTGGTAGTACTCAAAATGAGCTGAAGATAATGGGGAATGCTAAGGAAAATAACCCATAAAGTCTTTTATGGATGTTTTCAAAGCAATATTGGGGAAAAATTAGAATAAAAAAGGATAGGACTGCTGCTTAAGGTAGATGGAGTGAGGATAATGGATGATGGAGAGGAGACAGAACTATTCAACTCTTACTTTAGCTGTTTTTTCTGCCAAGTGAATGGCTATTTTTTTTTCTGGAAATTTTTAGAGTATTCTTTTTCCTGTATGGGTTGGACTAAACAACATCTGCCCTAGTTCACCCCACTCCCTCATCACCTCTGGTCTGGACTGAGGCCTTCAAATTGGTATCTCTGTCTTCATTCTTTCCCCTCTTCCATGTGGCTTCCAGATTGATATTCCTGAAGAACACAGGTCTGACCATGTTCCTTCTCTGCTTAAGAAAATTCAGTAGCTTCCCATTGAAGTAGCTCAAAAGAAACATGAGATGTGCAAATTTAGAGAATCTGCCTCCAATGTTCACATGGACTGTTGGTATCCGACTTGTCGCAGAGCATTCTGGGCTCATATTGGTCTGATCAGCCACAGTTGGACACACTGTAACTTGACTCTAACATAATTTTGGTCATCTTTGAGAACAAAGGACAACAACCAGCTTCCAATTACCTTTAGAATAAAGCCCCTCACAATCTGGTCCCAATCTGTCTTTCCATACTGAATTCGTATTACTCTCCATTACACATGCTAAGCTCTAGCCAAATCATCCGACTTACTGTATTCACTATACACAGTGATCCACCTCAAACCTCTGGTCCTTTGCCTCTCATATGAAGAATGCTGGTCTTTTTCATCTCTGACTCCAAATCCCTAGTTCCCTTCTAGTCCCACCACATGAGGCCTTTCTGGTCACCCCATCTCCCATTTGTCAATGCTCCTCTGTGAAATTGCTTTATATTTATCTGCGAATATGTTGTTTCCCCTCAGAATGCAAAATCCTGGGAAGCAGGTACCATTTCATTTTTGTTTTTGTATTCTCAGCAGCTAGGACAGTGTCTGGCACATAGTTGATACTTAATAAATGCTTATCAAAATGAAGTCCACCTCTGAGACCAATAACCTATGAGCATAGACTTGCTAATTCTTTCCTTTAGCCTAGATCAACAAATGTAGTATGTAAAGTAATTTAGAGTGGGACAGTGGCTGCAGTTGTGGAGACCTGAACGTGTATGGGAAAATGAGTCTATCCTTTGCTTTCACCTACATGCTCATTTCTACTTTGAGGGTTCTGAGTACATGTACTAATAGAAACCCAAAGCCAAACGTTTTCTTAGAGTTTTCATTGCCAATAGTCTTAGTTGTTAGCAATGAGCATGAGAAGAGACCTATGGGCTAGGATTGTTCATCAAAGATGTATATCAAGGATTCTGCCCATTCCTAGTAGGAAAATAATAGTTATTTATATTTGTCTTATACTGTTGCATTTAAAATTGCTGGGTTTCCTTTGCTAAGTCATTTCCACCTTGTTAGAATTACAGTTCAGTGTGTAAGGGGATGTAGTGGTAGGTAGATGTTGGATAAGTACTCAGAGAAGCTTGCAGAAGCTCAGTTGTGATAATCCTGTTTTTCCCTACCATCTCCCTCAGTGATGTTGGATTGGGCTCTGGATGTTGTACATCCATAGAGGACAACAGAAACACCACAAGAGAATTGACTCTCCCTATCCTCCTCCAGTCCCAAGGTTTTGTATATTTTCATGGTTAGGCCTGATACTGCTTGGGAACCAGGACATAGGGTGCATCTGAGAGGGAATCTGAGGTACAGTGCAGATACAGCCTTAGATAAATCTATCTAATTCATCAAAATTGAGTTCAGTGCTTGTCATCAGAGGCAGTTATCAGGGTAGTAGGCACCTTTATGACAGATCGTGACATCCACCGAGTTAGTCAAGTGTGATTTCTGAAAGCCACCACCACATCATCTCTCACAAGAGCTATCATCTTCCCTACCTTGGGAGAGTCATGAACACTATTCAATTCATGTCAATAAACAGATATAAAGTACCTACTACGTGCCAGGCACTGTGCTTGGTGCTCGGATACCTAGAAAAATAAATGAGACAATCCTCGAGGATTGTCCTCAAGGATCTTATGTTCTTTTATCTTTTCTCTCCTCTATTGTTGCCCAGTGGAGAAAGACTACTTATTAGTACCTCTTCTGAAGGGTAACCCATACCTTTTCTAGGCCCTGCCTGTCTTTTTGGCTAGATGAAAAGGAGTCCAGGTGTCAAGGTCCGTTCTATTACAACCCCTGCTCTGGGGCAAGCTGGATTATGGAGGAATAACATTCCTATGAGGATAAGAGGGTAACATTTTCTTCTGCCCTTTGTTGGAGCAGTAAGCTCACTGGGATCTATTAGGGAAACTTTTTTCTTTTTTAATTTTATATTGACATTCTTTAACAAT